GTGCATCGGCTTTTTCGTCCTACACCTCTTGATCTAGTCCTTGGTGAAGAGCTTGAAGTGGATACCTTCGATAACACCCTGGCTGAGCGGTGCGAGCTTCTTGAAGACTGAGCGAGTCGCATCAAAATGTCCCCATTCACAGCCGGCGCAGTAGTCGACGATTTTGGCGGACACCATCTTGCCGTTGTAGTGAAGGTGAACCGTCTCACCGCACTTGCCGTAGCCACCGTTCTTCTTGACGGCGACAACGGCCGAGTCGTCGGTAGGGGTAGGGCCACCACAGGCGGGGTTGTCGAGCTGGCCGCCTGCGTACCAGGTGACTTTGCCCCACTTGGAGACCCAGTCGCGAGATTCGAGGTCCGGGGACGAGGACTCGACGGCGCGAGCGGACAGCTCGACGTGGCGCGCCTTGCGCTCGAACGAGCGCTCGCCAAGGGTGTGCAGGCCAGACTCGTTGGTGTCGACGGTGGCAGAGACAGCAGCAGCTGCCGAAAGCAGAGCAAGGACAGTGGTGGTGAACTTCATGCTGGCGGTTTGGTCGATGCAGTGACGATGTGTCGGGTGAAAGGAGCGTCGGTACGATGACAGATGTACTGGCCAGAGTACGAATCTGTTTTGTAAGGGAGGTGTGGTAGGACGAGGGGGTGACGGATGGAGGAGGGATCGGAAGGATGAGGAGGGAAGGAAACAAGGAGCGGACGTACCGATAGGGCAAGGGGAGGGAGGGCGAAAGCACAAAGGGAAGCTGGTGGGCCCTCATTCACACGTCTCTGCTTCATTTTGACGCCGCTGTGCAGATGAAGTTTAGGCAATGCGGCGTCCATTGTTTGGGAGCGTCCGCCACTAACTTGGCACCTTTCGCTTCGCTTCGTCCCTTTCCTCGTTCGTTGCCCATCAACACGAAGCTCGCAGTGGTCCCGTTGCAGCGTCTTCTGCGACATTGGAGCATCGAAGCCACGATGTATTGTTCTCACGGCGTGACGATACGATTCGAAGAGTCGAAGCGCTGTGGCCGGCGGCAAGCGGGAAGGCTGCTGCAAGCATGTGTGGGCACTTGCAGCTTAGGTGCAGCAAATGAAGCGTGAGCCAACGGCAGGGGTATCGAGGTGAAAGGCCGATGCGGCTCGCTTGGATTCCCGGTGCATATCCTGACCACACCAACATCGACCACGTTTGAGGAACAATAGCACAGGGGCAGAGGGGTGGAACATTCTGCCAAAGCGTAGGATTCTCAAACTCAGCTGCCACAGCCGTCCTGCCCACATGCTCTGTGTGAGTGTGTGCGGGGAGACAGGGAGTTTGGTCATGCTGCGGACTCGAGTGGAAGAACATGCGTAGATCGACGCCGTCTTCATTGTTGGTTGTTGGGATGCCGGTGTGCGCTGGTCGGCCGCACAAGCGAGCCTCGCATCGCGGGTGACAGTACACCATGCGATCGGCAGCTCGCATCAGCCTTTTCCAGCACTGTGGCGTGGGGCTGAGGCAACCACAAAAAGGCACAAAGGCACAAAGGCACGGCGGGCGTCGCTTCGCTTGTTGCTCTGAAAAGGGGGGTTGCCTGCCAAAAACAGCAGGCTTTCGGTGACAGCGGCAACTTTGCGGCGGCACGGCTCACAACAGCCGTGGGGCCGAGCCGCCGAGGCGGCCAATACAAAAATACCCAAAGCAGCCGCAATTCACGCTCGGCATGCTGCTTTTGAAATGGGATTGGCGAGCATGTGGACGCGCAACTGTCGATCGATCTGCAACCGAAGCCTTCTTTTTCCTTTCTTCCTTTCCTGCCTCAACAGTCGTCGCCTCTCCGCCTTTGCAGGTCCCGCGCGGAGCACACTTGCAAAAGACGCCGAACGTGCCTGGTCCTGTTTCGGCACGCTTTGAACATCTCTCTCGTCCGAGCTTGCCGTCCATCTTGCGTCCCAGTGTGAGCCGGATCGATGCGCAATCGGTCGATTCGTCCTCGCGATGAGATGGGCACCCCAGTTCGTGTCTCGCAAGAAAGCGTGCCATACTGGACACCAACTCAGCTCCTCAGCTCCTCAGCTCCCGATGTCTCACTAGGCGGCGATTGTGAGACAGTCCCCCGATTTCTTCCAAACTCATCCTCATCCTCGGGGCAACCTCTTCCTCGTTGATGAGAGGGTGTGGAAGCGCGTTCTTTGCCGGCAGTGTGCTGGGTGTCCGAGCGACCATGTGGGTGCAAAAGGCTCGCCCGCTTTTGAAGCCGGGGAGGAGCCGCATGGCTCACGTCAAGATCGGGATGCATCGGGGTGCCTTGCTTACATTGCATGACAAATTACGACTTGTCAGAAAAACGTCGACGGGGATTTTTCCTCGCTTTCTCGCCACTCCTTTTTCGAAAAAGACCATCGAAAATGAGGGCGATAAAAGTCGGTCATGCTGTATCGCCAGATCCAGCCTGAGCACAGCCAAACAGATGCTGCGTGGGCAGATGGTCGATCCAAGGCTCACACTTTGGTCCTCAGTTAAGAATGTGCCATGGCAGACGGGGGAGTCTGGCTGCCTTCAATCGCTGTAGCGGGGTGGCCAACGTGCCCGATCTGATTGGCGCACTTCCACGAGCTATCTCTGCGTTGCCGCTCTCGACGCACGGACAGCGGAAGAAGCGCGATTTCGTGATTCCGAGTCAGTCGGGCCCAACAGGAACCTGTCGACGGGAAGAAGTGGGTCAAAAAAAAAAAAAAAAA